ATAACATTTTTTTATGATAAACTTGAATGTATGTGGATTAATAGGCGCAACATAAAACCATTTGTGCAAACTGATTATCGCACACTTATTAAAAGGGTACTTGATCTTTCATTTATAGCACCTACACGTTCCATACCTGACAGTAATTTTTATCTCAACATAATTCTTATTGCAGACAAAGTTTCGTGGAATTGATTACAGAAGCTCCTTAAATAAAGCATATGAATTAGCTTCAAGGGCCCTTCAATTATCGATCTCCGAAAGATTACAAAAATTTAGTTTCCTAGCATTATACGAAAAAATGTTCGACATCAACAACAACGCACTCGAGCCTGTTAACATGCCTGAGGTAGAAATGGACACAAATTCGGACGAAGAAGTACCTCCTTCGAATCCGTCAGACTCCATTTCGTTAAAAGATTATTATTTGACAGTACTGTGTAAAATACCTCATACCCGATCCTCTCATATAACAAGAAGTTTAAATTAATGAAACATTTCAAAGTTAGGTGGAATTAATCACATAAAATACCTAGAACCACGTAAATACACACCGGAGTATAATAAATATAATACGGAAGCAGACATTTTTTAATTTTTCTGTTTACTGCTGATATCAACTTTACCGGAAGTGATAAATTGACTGTCGAAAATGTAGTACACTATCTGTACGATCGCTTACCGACTGAATAGTCGACACAGTTTTTTAGTACAGCCAATTTCCGTGCAGAGACAGCACCAACACTGTGCACATCCATAAATAACTTTCATCTCTGAAAAATGTTTATTTATATAACGAAAAATATTTTCAACATATTTTAGCCGCTTACATTATAATCATTCTTGAACTTCAGAAAATTATTTACACATATACACGCATAGTCAATGCATTCGAGTTGCATGCAATCCAATGCATTCCTTATCTACAACGAGAAAAAGTCGATAACCAGGACATATTTACGTTCGTTTTTTCACAAACCAGTATCTCGTATCCTGTACAACTTTTTCTAATGTCCTAGTGCCTCCCGCCCATTTTAAGTAGCAAGGTTACCAGTATATCTTGCTCGGGTCAGCAGATAAGAGACGGAGGCTAGATAGTACAGTTTTATTTTATAACTATTAATCCTAGATTTTTTTGTCCTTCCTAAGAGACTGAGGTTCTTTTATGCATTTATAGCAAATACTACTGAACAAAGTCCCGCAAAATGAATATATCAACATTCAATATCACTCTGTACCAATTAACTGTTAAACGTAAACGTTTCACTATTTATTCTACAAGAAATTCCTTTGGCCTCGTAATGAATCATTCATTAACGCTTCGAGTGCCGCGTCTTCCAGAAATAGACCACATTTACTTAAATGGGGACTATTTTTTAAACACAATGTATACACATTATTTCACAAAACTGAAACAATTGCTACATCGTAACCGATACATTGCCAATCTTTGAAACCTAGCTTCGCCATAAAAAAATCGTGCAACATTCTACCTCAACTCCTCGTGGAGCATGAACCTTCTACTTTCGCATCGTATAAGCTATTTTTTCCAATATTTTTGTCTTACGTAACAAGCAAAGTAGACATAATTTTACATAGTAATTCAATTCTCGAGCTGAAGCGAAGGAATTCGAAGGGAAACGAAGAACTCTTTCCTCGAATTTGATTCGCATCTTATACAAACGATCTCTCGCATTTAACGAGATATTGGAACTACCAAGATCAAACCAGGATCGAACGTCCGCGCGACGTAACGAAAATCGGGAATCCGTCGTGGACCCGGACGATACCGGTTACCAGGCAGCGTTTCGTCGGCTGACGTTGACCGTTCGACAGTTCTCCCAGCGGAAATCGTGCGTACATAAACGGCTTGTAAATCGGCATGTTAATGCAGTGCAAAGTTCGGCCGGGGTCTCCGGGTCAGCCCGACGTCAGCGGATACGGAGACCCTCGCCGGCAACCGGCGAACTCGCGGCAATATTTGCGTGTTCCGTGTCCGCCGCCGATATATTCCATCGGCGATAAATGGGCACGGGGCCCAGACCACCGGTTCCCGTTGTTCGGCCTTCCACGGAAACAAATTCGCGCGGATAGGAAGCGATCGTTTGTCTTTTACGAGCCTGCTCGGATTATATGGCCAATAAGAGAAAATATTTTTATTATAGGCCCCTCGTTAAAAATCGCGACATTGTACGTTTAAGGACTCGTTACCGGCGAAACATCGAGTCGTTTCGGTAATATAATTCCTTCGGCTCCCTCCTACCGCCACCCCTCTTTTCTCTTCTTTTTTGCA